TTTTTTTAAACAATCTGGACACTCTGGTTGATAATAAGAAGGAGCATGCATTTGGTTCATTCAGAGTTGTATACAAAATTACTGTGGTATGAAAGGGAGCAACAACCGTACTATGGCAGAGTGGCACAAGTCATGACTGTGTAACAATAACCGAAATTAATTGCAAAAGCGTAAAAACATTGGAAATTATTGTCTATTATTATAGATACTAGTACAGATTATCACAGTTCAGTGTATAACTTGTTATATTACACCGTACCAATGAACATAAATATCAAGAAGGGGCCACTCGTTATAACTGTAGCGAAAGTGAGTAACAGGGGCGTGCCTTCTCTTTTGCTCTAGTAAGTTTTTTAATTGGATGAAAAGAGAAGGTACGCCCCTGTTACTCACTTTCGCTACAATTATAACGAGCCTACATTTTGTTCATAAATAACACATAATTATGTGTATTTTATCCTCGAAAGGAACATTTCTAATCATGAGGCGAAATTCCCCACAGTAAGTGTTGCCGCTGTGGTGTAGTGGTAAGCAGTGCGCGCTTTCACACATCAGCACCTGGGTTCAAGCCCTGGTCAAAGCAACATCCCAAAGAATATAGAAAAAGGTTTTTTCTTAACAGCAGTGGTCCCTCGGCAGGCAATGGCAAACCTCCGAGTGTATTTCTGCCATGAAAAACAGCTTCTCATAAAAATACAATCGCCGTTCGGAGTCGGCGTAAAACTGTAGGTCCCTCCGCTTTGTGTGACAACATCAAGGCGCACGCCACAAGTCGGAGGAGAAGCTCGGCCAAACACTAACATATGTGTAAGCGCCAATCTATTATATTATTATTAAGTGTTGCCGTGCGCGCAAAACGAAAACGCTGCACACAACCCAAAAGTACTCCTCGGGGGCCAAATGGTGAAAAACTGCGAAAAGGTTTATTACTGTATATAAGTTGTGTTTTCGTATTCTCCAACAAAAAATATCCAGTAACTTGCCAGTAACCAAATTTCGAAGAGTAAACCAATATTTACTCCCAATGAGTGAAATATGCAAGAAAGTACGAAAACGCAAAACCAGCAAGAAGTTGCTAGTTTTATGAACAGCTGATTAATTTGTTATTTTCCGATGCAATTTTCTTAGAAAACTAGTATTTTCTATCTTATTATAAATGTAAATATGTTTATTTTGTCCGTTGCAACTCTAAAGGCACCACGAACATTTATTTTGTTAATGTTAATAACATTAAGCATCATGCCATCAGCTGTTTTTCTTACTAGCAAATAGTTGCGAGTAAAAATTTATCCAGTAAAAATCCAGTAAAACTTGCAAGTTCAGCTGTCATTTTTGCTCTCTCAATTTCCCCTCTTTTGCTAGTTTCTTGCAAGTTTTTGCGTACGAAAACGACATCCAGTAAAAAACCAGTAAAATTAGTATTGGAATTACAGGATAGTGCGTACGCGAACAGGGCTATACTGTGCAAGAAATAGAAACTCACCGCGATGCGATACAGAAATAAAAACCAACAGGGCTGCATTTTCTTGGCAAACAACACAAGCGCTCAGAGCAATCTGATCCGCAAAATTATTTTGTGAAAAATAATAGTTGAAAAGAGTTTTTACACGTGATTATCACATTAACTCATACGTGCAAATTATTGTGATTATTTTTAGTTGAATAAAATTGTATTTCCTTGGACTTTTTTTAATGTTTTCTAATATTCATTCTTTTGGGACGCAAAAGCAACCATGCGCTAAATTTCTTGTGGGGAAATTTGATCCCCATAAAGCCCTATATGCAGCTCTCAAGAAAACGGTTATATTAATATTATTATTATTATAAAATAAAGAGCTTATTTTTACTTTCTTAAGAAATTTACTACGCTTTCTACTACGGTTTTCTAAAGTTTTTTGTGAAAAAAGAGCACAAGGCAACCCAGGTTTGCAACAGAAATATATGCCCGTTCCATTATTTCTTGAGGAAAGAGTGAGGCAACAGGCTGTGAAGTATCAAAAATGTCAAAATTCCTTGGACACACACACGAAATAATGGCAATTTTTTCTTGACCGTTTTCTTGAGAGCTGCATACAGGGCTTTAGTATCCAGCTCTTAAGAAAATGCACAAGAAAATGTTCGTGTTCTTTCTTCTGCTTGAAATAGTAGTAGGCCAGTAATTTTGACGTTTGATAATGCACCGTGAATAGTAAACAATGGCAGAAGAAGAGCGGTAAAAAGTAAACAAAAGAAACAATCTTTTGCCTATGACCAATTTGTAAGTTTATAACAATATTTTTCCTTAAATTTATTAAAGTACATTTTAATTTATTTTGATTCAATTTCAGGAGATAGTTTTCACTGATATCGAAACATCACTATATCTACCGAAGAAATCTATTTGTCGGACAGTCGACTTTTAAAAGCATTAAAATTGTACCATTTTTTATATCGAAATATTTTCGACATCCCTATTTTCAAATTGTTCTGTCTTACCAATATATAATCACACATTCTACAAAACTATTTTTTACCGACTAAGACTTGAATTATCAATACGGCAGTGGTGAAAAGTTCAGATGGATTTATCAAATATATGCCGTGCCTGTTTGTCGCCGGAAGATCGGGTGCATCTGCTAGATTGGTATCAGCCTGTTGACTCTTTGGATATATCATACAAAGAGTGTTTGGGTACTGTTTAGTAAGTGGCCCACCTATTTCGGGGTATTGCGTCCAAAGGGGTGACCCGATCCAAAAAAAAATTGCACACACTTGTAGCCAAGGGTCTACCCATTATTTTAACATCCACTATTGTCATTTTGGGTCACTAATTTATTTACAAATTGGGTTTGAAATATGCCCTTTTTTGTAAAATTCGGAAATTAGCGTAAATTTATCACTCCTATTCTCCTTAAAGCAGCTACATCAGCAATATATTTTTATATTCTCCTTCACTTTGCACTTTACTCGATGAGCTATAACTTTCTTTATAACTTTAATATTAACCAATTAATCACAATTTATTAAATAAAAACACCTTCTAAATCATGCGTCTGACTTTTGTTGCATATGCAAATTAAATGGCGTAGTTCAGCTGTCAAACTCCAAAATATGCAAAAGAATGAGAGACAAAAGAAAATAGGATATAACCCTGTAAGCATTAAAAATATAC